CTCTGCCCCCCCCGTCCGGGACCTGGAAGGGCGCAGGTCACACGCCAAAAAATGCAGCCGGCAGCCCCTGCCCGAGCATCGGCTCTGCAGGGACTGTAGCAGAGCCCTGCCGCGCCGGGGGACGAGGCGCCCGGTCCCTCCTGCTCCGGGGTGGGTTTGCTTCATCCCCGCGTTACATGCGGGTTTGGGCGGTTGGCCGTGGCCTCCCTCTTCAGGTCCCATTTCCCTGCGCTCCCCCCCTGCTGCCAGGCTGCTGTGTCAGGAGAAAGTAGGGTCGCAAGTTGCCAGAAATGAAGAAGCCGTCATCAGCGGGGAGCGTTGGGGCGTGCAGGGCCGGCGACTGAGCCTCTGCGAGGTGGAGTGCTGCCTGCGTGGAAGGATGGGGCTTGGCACCGTGACCTGCCGTGGTCCGGGGCTGCCCCTGTGAGAGTTATCACACAGCAGCGAGCAGCTTAATCCCTGCACCTGGCAGAGCAGGCCTAGCACTTCACTCCATAAATGTTGAGGTGTTAAAGAAAGGTTCGTGCTTAATGCATAACTCTTAAATCCTGGAGATGTGCTTCAGTGACATCACCTCCAAAGAGAGGTCCTGGTGCAGAAGAACCCTCTTTGGGTTCCCTACCAGAAGATGACTCTGCAAAGCTGCTTGCAGATGAGCAAAGCAAGGAGAAAATTGAGCAAATAACTGGGTTAAAATTGTAATTATCATAACTCTTTGGGAGGTGCTTCAGCTTTTTTTGCAACTTTGATTTTACTCTATGCCATGGGCCACCCTGAGCTAGAGGATCGCTGCTAGGGCTGGACTGAGAGACCCCCCTACAGAAGAAAGTCCAGGTGCCAGAGAAAATTATGGTAGTGATTCAGGAGATGGGCACTTTTCCCACTTTGCTGGTTCATTATGTATACTTTAAGGCACTGATGTGGCAGGAGTTCCTGGCCTTTCCTGCACTGCATAATTATATATGAAGAATATTTCAAGTTTCAGTGTTGGCACTTTGGGGGTCCATGATTACTGACAAATTTAGGTATCAATGAAATGCCAGAGCATTTCTTGCAAGCCTGGCTAAAAGTCTCTGTGTGTCAGATGACATGCAGATTTGCAATTCTCCTTACAGGCATATTAAAGTCTTTGGTAATAAAAAAAGATAGCTCTAGTACCCAAATGCCCTTCTAAGCTCAAACTTAGAGGTAGGATTCAGTTGCTTCATTACTGATTTTTACAGTTCTTTAA